TGTAGCGCTATTTTGAAAGGTGATATGTTGAGTTGTGTCAAAGAGGAAAGTATCATATTAGTGTTCATTTTCTTCCTCATCAAGCAAAGCAAAGAATTACTGCATTCTCTTTATTCTCAAGAATTTCATTTCAGTGTGGCCTTTTGGTTCCTCAAGGCATTCAAAGGATCAAGTTATGTTCTGAAATAATAACCTACATGTTTCTGAAAGATAATTCATGAAATAAATATTTACTTTCTGCCTGCTCTGTGCCAGGCGCTACTTTTGTTGCTGGGAATCTCATAGGGATCAAGACATAAGACATCCCTGTACTGCTGGAGTGAAAAAGCAAACTGAGATCTTCCCAAGTTGTGGCAAGTGCTGTGAACAGAAGCAAGCAGGGAGATATGAGGGAGTAACTCAGGGTGGGTGTGGGGCAATGTAGGTTGGAAGTCAGGGATGCTTCTTTGAAGAGGTGATATGTGAACTGAGCTGTGAATGAAACACAGGAACCAGCTAAGCAGAGTGCATGAAGAACCTACAGAGGGGATGAGCTTGGCATGTTTAGGGAACAAAAAGAATGCCAGGGGTCTGTGCAGTGGCCATGGGAAACAGATATAGAGGTGAGGGCTCAGAGATCATCAGGGGACAGATGACAGGGACAATGGTGAGGAGCTGGATTTGACTCTCAAGGCAATGGGAAGCCACTGGGAAGTTTTAACCAGATGCATGACATTATTAGCTCTATGTTTCCAGAAGCTTCTTTTGAGTACTGCATGTAAATGAATCAAAGCAAGGCAAGAGAGAAAGCAGGAAGACTAGTTGGAAGCCCATTTCTGGGAATCCAGACAAAAAAGAAAAAAAAAAAAAAGACACTGGGAGCTTGGGCCAGCAGAGTGAATAGAGAAAAATTGATATCTACATTTGCAATGAAAGAACACTGCCATGGTCAAAAATAACCTCCTTTTTGGTGTACAAGAACCAGATACAACCCCTGTTTCTTGATATTTCTCAACCATAGCATTCTTGATCAATTTGATTTTTCATCCATATTAGGGCACATGCTCCTTAAACACAGGGCTTTGCTTTTCTTGTCAGTCTCACTCTTCTAGGAAGTGCTGTTCTATATTCAGCACCTCGTGGGTGCTGAATAAATATTGATTAAACAAACCAAGTAATGAACCACATCTGCTGCAAGTGTGGGTGCTTGGTAATGTGGAAATATAGAAATGGGCTGGATTCTCCCATCCACAGGGCAGATGCTGGATGTGGGGGTGGCTGGAGTAGTTGCTCCCCCTCCTCTGCACTTCAATGCCTTGGGATAGGGGTGGTCATTCTATAACCACTTCCCATTGAGTAAATGGAAACAGTCTACACATCTTTAAGAATCCTTACCCATCATTCAAGGAGGAATCAAGGAAACGATATGCTTGCCAGGTACAGGGAAGCTTGCTGTTGGTGAGCAATACCCCTACAGTGTGATACAGGTCTGGGTGGAACAGATGTTAGAGGGAATTTAAAGAAGTGTCTACACTCCACAAAGAGGGTTCAGAGAAAAACCAAAACCAAATGCCATTGTACTGCACAGCAGGAATCAGCCAACTCTCCCTGTAAAGGATTAGAGAGTCCATCTTTTATGGCCGTAAGTCTGTTGCATCTCTGCCTTTGTAACATGAAAGTGGCCACGGACAACAGGCACATGAATGAGTACCTGTGTTCAAATGACACTTTACTTAGGGAAACCAAAATCTGAATTTCAGATAATTTTCACGTGTTATGATATATAATATTTTCCCTTCTGCTATTTAAAAACATAAAACCACTCTTAGCTCATGGAACCCACAAAAAATAGGCAACAGGCCACCCATGGGCCACAGTTTGCCAAGTTTTACTCTTTAGATCACGAAAGAGGGGGAATGATCTATCTGAATAGTATTAAAAAACTGGCAATCTTATATAGAAATAATATTCAACACTATCCTCTTGTTTATCTGTTGCTTAATGCACATTAAAATTCAGCCCTGTGTAGTATAGGATGTTTTCTTATAATAAGGAATAGGTGGCATCAAATAGCTCTTGAATGTCTACTAAGCGGGAGTCACCCTCCAGCTGGCTGCCTGGCCTTTTCTATGCCCTGTTTCTGCTTTCTGCTCTCCACGCAAGGCCAGATGCTCTTTTTTTTTTTTCTTTTTTTTTAAAAAAAAGATGACCGGTAAGGGGGTCTTAACCCTTGACTTGGTGTTGTCAGCACTACGCTCTTCAAGTGAGCAAACCGGCCATCCCTATATAGGGATCTGAACCTGTGGCCTTGGTGTTATCAGCACCACACTCTCCTGAGTGAGCCACGGGCCGGCCTGCAGATGCTCTTTTAATAACACACCAGTCATTTGTTCTCCTTCTTGAACACTCCAGTGGCTTACCACTGGCCATTTGCACTTACAGCAAGATGCAAATGCCTTATCTTGTCCTTGCCCAACCTTGTCTCTGACCACTCTCTCTGTCCAGCAACACCAATCTCCAACCTTGGAGCTCTCCACAGCCTTTGTACCAGCTATTCCTTCAGCCTGAAACATGCCTTCCCCAGTTTTTAGCATGGCTGGTCTTCCTTGAGAATTCAGAACTCAGCTCAAATGTCCCCTACTCTTCAGAAAGGCTGTCCTTGACTACCCAATCCAATAAAATTCTTCCCCTAGTCAGTTTCTATCACACTGTCCTGTGATAGTGTCCTGTCCTGTCCTGTGTCCTAGTTCTTTTTAGAACTAGTCTTTATCTGAATTATCTTGTTAATTAACTTGCTTACTTATTTTTTCCAGACTCTTCCCGCCAAAAGTAAGTTCTTTCAGAAGAAGGAAATTTCTGTCTAATCACTGCTGTGTCTCCATTTTCAGAATAATGCCTAACATTCAATATGGTACATCACATATTTGTTGAGTAAACAAAAGAAGGAAATCATTTGGGATGTATTATAGAATGCATGTTTAGAATTGTACTAGTATTGTACCCCAGTTGGGGATGAGGATGACTGTGTAGGGTGGGGCTGGGGTAGGATGGGGGAGGAAGACCACAGCCTTGAGACATGAGCAAGGACCAGATCTTTGAGAGGACCTCAGGCCATGCTAAGGCCTTTCTACTTCATTTTGAAGGCAATGGGGAGCCACAGAGGGTTTTAAGCAGGCACAGAACAAAATAGTTTAGTGTATTTATTGGAATGGGCACACTGGGAAAATAAAGACATATGTTATATGCTCTGTTTATACCACTAAGGAGGGCAAAGGTCAAAGAATCATCATAGACAATCCTTAACTTAAATGAGCATAAAAAGATGTCAAGAATGAATTCAAATTCAATATAAATATTACATTCCATCTACATTTCTCCATTCTCAGGGTTTTAAGCAGGCACAGAACAAAATAGTTTAGTGTATTTATTGGAATGGGCACACTGGGGAAATGAAGACATATGTTATATGCTCTGTTTATACCACTAAGGAGGGCAAAGGTCAAAGAATCATCATAGACAATCCTTAACTTAAACGAGCATAAAAAGATGTCAAGAATGAATTCAAATTCAATATAAACATTACATCCCATCTACATTTCTCCATTCTGTTTTTGAGCTGGGGGGCCCTGGAGTAGCATTTGACACATTTCTGAATGACATAGCCAGAAGAAAAGATACTCCAAGTTTCACAGTTTTTGGTGGTGCTTGACAGAACAAGGCCATTCGTCAGGTGTAGTTTTAGTCCAAAAAATGAAAATGAAGATGAGGAATTAAAAAAAAAAAACAAAACAGGTGGTTCAACTGTATGCTCGTTGTTCAAGCCCCAGTGGCTTGGTCCAACTATGGAAATGAGATTTCTGCATGAGATAAGCCTCTTTCAAATGTGCTGACACCAAAATGGAAACCATTTAAAAAATTTAAAAATATATTGGATGAGTTTCTTTTTCATATGTACAAGTCTGTCTCCTTCCTTCCATTATTCTTCATCCTTGAAACAGAAAATTATTAACATCTTCCTTTTCATGAGTCCATGGAGATAGGTAAACAAATTTAGAGAGAGCAAACAAACCAAAGTTCGAGGCTGTTTGAGGAAAATACGGGTACTGAGGCCCAAGCTCCCTGACTGAAGTTTCCATGGACAAGGGCTCTTTTGCAGGGTTACCCTAGAGCTGCCTTTTCACTTACTTTAAGATGTTGAAGTTTGTGAGGTCCAGACTACCTTTCCCTTGGATTAAAACAGGAAAGGTTACCAATGAACGGTCCACTGAGATCTCCATTTGCATAGTTAGATATGTACTAACAACTTAAAAATGTTTAAGATGACCACAAACCACAGTGTTGAATGTCTGGGACACGTGGGTGCTTGCTATCTATAACTTCATTGTGTTTATCTCCAAAATGAACTTCCTTTTTTTTGGTTTTTCATTCATTCTCTCTACTACTCTCAGGAATATTCTATGTGGCAATGTGCATCGTCCTAGAGGAAACACATCTCAGACCACAAATTCCTCTTGAATATGTTCTTGCCTATCTTTCTTTGCCCCCAAACCTTGATATCTCCTTCTTCAAGGCCAATTAAGGCTAATTTTTAAGAATTAAGGGCAATTAAGGGTAATTTTTAAGAATTACGTCTTTTGTGCCAATAGATTTCTGCCTTTGCTATTGGTTGGCATCCTTTGCTTGGAAGCTTTCAGTTAGAGATGGCCGGAGGGAGGAAGTGCTCTGTGAATTCTGGCCGGGCAGTGGTTAGAAATCTAGACATTGGCAGAGGCACAAGCACCAGCTGGAACCAGGCAGCACCCAGCATTGCTCTTGTCCCCTGCCACTGCCTCACCGAGCCTCCAATCTTTCACCTTAAGGAGTCTCTTGGGTACTTTGTATTGCTGGCTGTGGACTCTGGCTAGAGCCACTGTGATGTAGGGTGGCCACAGGAAGAGGGCTGAGCGCCCCGAATCTATGGGAAAAGACAGTGACCCAAGTTGTGGGACCCTCCTGAATTGAGACGGTTTGAGAAGACTTACTGAAAAGTCGTCACTGGGGAAGAACAGGAGATCTTGAAGAGGATCATTCCGATAGGTCTTTTCAAGTTCTTCAATGACAGTTTCATAATCCAAAGGCTCGAGAAGCCTAGGTTTTTCCTGCTGTAGGAAAAGAAAATATGATATTAACCATGTACACATGTCATCTTGCTTCTTCTTGATGCCTAGTTGGATTTCATTTCTTAGTTGTCACTGAGACTTTGACATTGCACAGTCTTTCCCATGTAGTCACAGAGACTCCAGGCATTTAGGGCAAAGCCACATAACTATTATTTCCAGATCTGAAATAATATGAGAAGATCCTGAAATACCTGACATCTCCCTCAGTAATTCAGGCTCTTTGCACTGAGTCCCCAAGGGTCATGGTATCCAGGACTATCACTACTTTATCTTTTCTGCTTACTTGCTATAGTGTTATGATAATCATTATTGTTTTGCTCAAAGGCTCTTTGCACTGAGTCCCCAAGGGTCATGGTATCCAGGACTATCACTACTTTATCTTTTGTGCTTACTTGCTATAGTGTTATGATAATCATTATTGTTTTGCTCACTTAGACACTTCCTTGTAAGATATACTTGGGTCAGTTTAAAAATGTTGGCACCCTGCTAGCCATCAAAGTATCACAGGCTGTCTTAGTTGTTGCTAAAACATGGATACTGTGTCAGGATTAATTGCTTGGCTCTGAATCTCTCTGACTCTACCGAGAGAAGCTGGGTCATTCTCTAATAGAACTGAACAACACAACTATTATGGATGCATGTGGTGAAAATGGACAAGTCTGAAGAAATAGCCAGATAAACAAACTTCGATAAAATCCTGAAGCCAAGAAGAAATGTGTTCTCATCTAAGAAGGCTCCCATGGAGCCCAAAAAATAAATGCCTGAGGGATAAGATGTGATTGTTTCATTAGAGGGTTGATGTGTTTGCTTCAAACTGTATAAAACTCACAGGTGAGAAAAATGGATCTTCACCCAAAAACCCAAACAAAATAAAAAATTACAAAAAAGAAAACCAGAGTCCTCTAACCCTCTGATGAAGCATTTATGCAACCTAAGTGAAAAGGAATGGTCCTCTGAGTTATTTTTGGGCTCCTAGAAGCTTGAATGGTCACCATGAAATGTGGATGCTAAAGTGATCTTGAAAGTGGAAAAAAATATTTCCTTTCTCTTTCATGTCAACGACATGAACAGACACTCTCCCAACAACCTCCCTTGCCCCCAGCACTTGCCACCTCTCCCCATTCTGCAAAGCTTACAGATTTGGCTTTGATTTCTAAGGCCTTCTTTGAAAGATCTCCACTGGTTAAGCCCCCAAAACTTCTGTTGACATTTTAATAATTGCTACTGGGTGCCTCAAAGTAACAGTCAATATTTATATCGACAATTTTCCAAATATAAAAAATAAAATGAAACAAAATGTGAACATAGTGGACCAAACGCAAGGATCTCCATGCACTTTCTGTATTAGAGAAAACCAAACAAACACATGTCACAAATGCTTTAGTAAACTGAGGGCAATGCAAGGTGAATATTCTCTCTGGAAGGGCCCTTCAGTTAAGGTGGCCAGATTTAGCAAATAATAATATAAGAGTTCACACAATATTTGGAGAAAAGAAGAAATTTAGTTGCCCAAACATAGCTACTTAGTGAAAGAGCTTTGAAACATGGAGTATTTTGAGATACAAGACACAGAGACACTATGACATGACTTAGATAATTTAAAAAAAAGGTTATCTACAATTTCTGCCTTTTAATATCATTATTCTACTTAGACTTATTTTAAATTCCAATTTCTTATTTCCGAGACAAAGGTTAGTTCCAAGGATTACAAACTGATAGCTCAAAAGACAAATGCAGGTTCCAGATGTTTGGTTTGGCTTTTATTTTTCATTTTAGACATTGGCTCTAAATGTCTTTAAGTAGTGGTATTTCTCTCTAGTTCAGCTACAGGCCTCAGCAGTTTTTTATCTATTACCTCTTACCCTGCAACATTGCATATTTATATTACCAACTGCCTCATAGGCCTTCAAATCTGAAACACTTGGCTTATTCTGGAATCTTTCTCTCCTTTTTAATTTTTTT